GTTTTTTTTTTTTTTAGAAATTCTTAGTTTTATGGAATTTAGTTGATTTTTTTTCTTTTAAGGTTAGCACTTTTTGTGTCCTATATAAGGACTTTTTATCTACCCCAATACTCTCCATCCTTTCTTCCAGGAGTTTTATTGTTTTTATCTTTTATATTTAAGTTATAATTCATTTTGAATTAATTTTCATATGTAAAGAGAAGAGTCAAGATTCACTTTTCCCCCAGATGGATGTCCAATTGCTCCAGTATCATTTCTTCAAAGAAGCCCTAATTTTAGATTTTATGTTGACTGCTGGGTAATGGGAGCACATATTCCATGAAAGCAGTATTTCTCAGACTCACCTGTCTCAATAGTCTGCTTTCCTCCTGAGAGGACACCTAGAGGGAGTGTCCCTGTAGGCGTCAGGCCCTTGAGAGTCAGCACACTCTCACTCTCTTCCCTGCAAAGGAAGGTGAAAGTCCTGCATTAACGCCAGGGTGTCCACCACTCAGCAGTTCAAAGATACTAGAAGGAAGTTAAGAAAGGATGCACAGAGATGGAGGACAGGTTCTCCTTCTTCCTACCCCTTCCCTGACCCAAAGAAACAGATGTTTTATGAAAATGTTCCAATTTTAAACCACCAGCCAGTTCTTGCTTCTCAATTAGAGGTACTTAATAGGCAGCCGCTGTTCTAATGTTTCCCATATATCATACCATTTAATCCTCCTAATAACCGTATAAGGCAGGTCTTGTTATTGTCACTCTATTACAGACAAGGAAACTGAGGCTCCAAACCATTCAGCTAAGAAGAGGTAGAGCCAGGATGTGAACAGGCAATCTGGATCCAAGAATTCACACTAAATCACTCCATTCACTATACCTAAGCTTGTACCAAATGAATGTTTGCCAAAACATTTCTAGTCACTTTAATAGATAGGTCAGATTCAATCTGCACTCCGCTTTGAAGACCTATCCAATTGTACTACACTTTAATTCTAAAAAAAACTGTTCTAAAATCAGCTTCTAATTGTCTCTCAAAATACTTTTATCCCATACTGTAATGATAGATTTATCCTCACCGCAGAATTGAAAAGACCCGTGCCATCTTCCCAATGGCTCTGATTTTATTCTTGATGATCTCCTTTCGAACTGTAGTGCCTCCTTAAAGAATACAAAGAATAAGTGAGTTAAAAGAATGTGTTAACAAGGTTAGTTTTAAAATATGCAGGATGAAGTATCTTTCTAACTTAAAGAAATTATTGTTTTAAAAAAAGAAATCAAGGCCTAAGTTTGTTTAAACAAATAAAAATCCCAGGAAGTTCTAAGGAGCAAGAGAGAAAACAACCCAGAAGAAGGGGGGAAAAAAAGATGGAAGTAAAAATGGAGGGGTCACAACAAAGACAGACTGGATGGATCTATGAAGGGTAGGAACTTATTTGTGGTTCTGAAATGTAGAACACAGCAAAGAATGAAATATACACATAAACAAAGACAGCTGCTACAGCAAAGACCTCTTTTGCAAATGCTGTGGGCCACCTTAGGATGCAGGGTTTGGCCTGCCAAATGGCAAGTGATGATTCAAGCAGTTATCTTCTGCATATATACAGTTAGCTCTCCTGAACTTAGTGAGGGCTACTTTCATTCTATAATCCTCACTTACTCACAGACTGGTGAGTTACTGCCTACCATAGACAACTGTGTGGTACAAATCATGATGATGGGTAAGGTCTTTATAAAGCAACATCAAAAAAAGTTACCACAACATTTTATGGCCTTTTCCCATCTATGATTCAGGAAACAGCTCACGTATGAGAAGCCAAGGTCCAGGCATGCACCAGGTGACCACATTCAAAAGTCAGAAAGAGAAACATGGTCTCTCCTTCCTCACCCCTCCAGCTCTCAATATCCTGCAGAATTATATGGCAGGTCCAGAGAAAACACTCACATTAAAACAGAAAGGGAGGATGGAGAGCCTGTCTGAAATTACTCAACTACAACTAAAAAGATCCAATAAAATTAATAGACTGTGTGTGACAGACAGCGAGTAGTAAGCTCTTAGCACATTTTAGTCGGATACCTTTCCGATAGCTTGAAATGTAGTGATCTTCAGGGAGAAGAGACACCAAGAAACAAGGAGATGAAGATAGAAATATGAGAAGAGAAATTTAAGTTTACATGGAAGAGAGAAAAAAAAATCAAAGTGAAATGCAATGAGAGAAGCAGGCTACTATCTTTATCAGCTCAGAAGAGACATCCTTGGTATCATGATAGAACATTAAATTACAAATTTCTTGTCAGCAGTTTTCCACTTCTTAAAGTTTATAGTTTTACATAATTTCACATCTGTTTTTATCTAACATATCCCATCCCCACAAATCATGAAAATAAAATTAGACAAAGAAAAAGATACTACTTAAGAAACAAAACGATGCTGAAAACAAGGAACAAAAAACAAAGGACAGAATGAACAGCCTACAAATCTCGTAATAAGAGCAATATGTTTTTGTTTAATGGATTCACTATGTTCCTATACCTTTTTGGAGATATTATAGGTTTTCCTTTTTTAAGTTTTATATTTTCTTGAGAATCTCAAGTTCATTCACATTGTTTTTTGCTGTTTGTATTGTTGTTTGACTGACTCCAAGACTTTCCTGAGGTGGATGGTAATCCTTGGTGTTGGCTCCTGATTAGGAATGAGGGCCTAAAAGGCTCTCAGAGTTGCCAGGTAGACTGCAGACTTGGAGCTTTACAGGTTGTGATCAGGGTGAACTTTTGTTAGGGAATTCTCTTTATCAGTATTGAGGATGCACATGGCTGCTTAATTCACTGGTTTGGGGCCAGGTAATGATGCCCTCAGCTGTATTCCTAACCCAGAAATTCTTTGGTTACACTTTTTTTTAGAGATTTGCCTCCAGACCTGGAGGAGAGGCAACTGCCCAGTGGCAATTAGGATTTTAACTGCCTTTGAAACAGCTTCCACCTAGTCTTTTTTTTTTTTTTTTTTTTTTTTAGCTCAGTGCCCATCCCCTTACTCCCCCTAACCCAGTCCCCAATTCTAGAAATTGTACTACCAATTCCTTTGCTTTTTGAGGATTCTGTGCTATAATTCAGCATTCCACATTACTTTAGCTTTCTTGAATTAGCTAAGTGAGGAACACAAATTATTCATGTTTCCCAGCTTCTAGAAGTTCCTATAAAAATCTCCACATTTTTCTAGGTTTATCACTTTTTTATTGTGAGGTATGATAAACATACAGAAAAGTGCACAAAACAAATGTAAAATGTCTCTCTCTTCCCAAAGAAAATCACTCTCTTGACCTTTATTGAAATCACTTTCTTGCTGTTCTTTATAGTTTTACCATGTAAGCGTGTGGGTATCCACAAACACTATGGTTTTCATTGTGTTTTAACTTTCTGTATTTAGAACAATCAAATATGTATTTCTGTGTCTGGCTTCTTTTGCTCAACATTATGTTTGTAAGACTGATCCATGTTTTGCCCATTGTAGTTCACGGTCATTATTGTATACAATTCTACCATATGAATATGCCACAATTTTCCTTTTTACCATCAGTGGTTATTTGGTCTAATTCCAATTTTTGGCTATTGTGAATTCAACTGCTATGAATATTCCTATGCGTTTCTCTTTACTATTTCTGTTAAGTACATTCCTAGAATTAGAACCATCAGTTACAGGGTATGTATATGTTCAACTTTGGATAAGTTAGATATTATCTACTAAAGTGGACGTACGAAGTTATATTTCAGTGTATGAGCATTCCCGCTGCTACACGTCCAGGCCAGCACTTGGTGTCATCTTTAATTCATCTTTAATTTTAGCCAATCTGGTGGCTGTATAGAATCAGCCAGTGTGGTTTTAATTTGCATTTTCACAATCACTAATGTGGATGGATATCTTTTTATATCTTCACAGACCATTTTGATATTCTCTTTTGTGACGTACTTATTCAAGTCTCGTCTAACTGACCTGGAGTTCTTCATATATTCTTCAAGTGAACTCTTTGTTGATTGTGTTGCAAATACCCTCTCCCACTCTGTACCTTGACTTTTCACACTCTTAAAAGGGTCTTTTGATAAATATAAATTCTTACTTTTAATGTAGTCCAACTTATCAATAGTTTTCATATGGTAAATGTTTTCTGTGACCTGTATTTAAGAAATTGTCCTTGGGGCGCCTGGGTGGCGCAGTCGGTTAAGCGTCCGACTTCAGCCAGGTCACGATCTCGCGGTCCGTGAGTTCGAGCCCCGCGTCAGGCTCTGAGCTATCAGCACAGAGCCCGATGCGGGGCTCGAACTCACAGACTGCGAGATCATGACCTGCACTGAAGTCGGATGCTCAACCGACTGAGCCACCCAGGTGCCCCTCATATATGAATGTATTAATCCGTCTGGAATTTATTTTGTGTTTGAAATATGATATGAGTCAGGTTTAATTTTTTTCTCAGATATCCCCAAAACACTTATTAAAAATACCATCATTTCCCCACTACTCTGCAGGACCACCTCTGGTGTAAATCAAGTGTCCACAAATGCTGTGATGTTTCTGGATTCTCTACTCTGTTTCAGTGCTCATCTGTCCTTGCACTAATAATCCTAAATGCTCTAGCTTTGCAGTAAACCTTGATCTTCTTCAAGACTTAAACTATTTCCACACTAATTTTACAACCTATCCTCAGCATTTTCATACAAATTTTAGAATCTATCCTCAGTATTTCCATATAAATTTTACAGTCAAATGGTCTGTTAATAGTTGACTTTGTACTGAATCCACAGATCAATTTGGGAATAACATATCTTTATAATATTGAGTTTTCCAAAACTCAATGTACATTTTATTTCTTTCCATTTATTTAGATCTCCTTTAATTTCTCTAATAATGTTTTATAGTTTGTTGCTTAGAGGTATCACACACCACTGGTCAGATTTATTGTTAGGGAGAATACTGTAAATGGCACCTTTAAAATTTCATTTTGCTTGTTGCTGGTAATAGAAACACAAATGATTTTTGCTTATTAACTTTGTATCCAGCAGCTACATGCCCTTGTTGATTTTAACAATCTATAAATTCCTTTGAATTTTCTCTACACACAGTCAAATCACCTATAAATAATGATAGCTTTGTTTCTCTCTTTCTAATCTTTATACCCTATGATGCTTTTTCTTGCCTTATTATACTGGGTATAACTTCTTTTTTTTTTTTTTTTTTTTTTT